TTTGGCATTTTCAATCTGCCATACTTTCATACAGTCAATATCGCAGATGCTTGCGGACAAAGTCAATTTAGTTAAATTTATCGTGTCATTTTTTTAATTGCGAACGTTGTAAATAAGAATTATATGTACGTAATAAATAATTGGACAACAGTAAAATTGTATCGATGAGTTAGGAAATTGATATCGCACGCGCAACATTTATCTCATTAATTTATCGCGCGCGTAAAGTTTATACTTAATATTTAAAGCCCTCTCTATATGTATAAGAAAATTATTAATCTAAGTTATAATATTTAAAGCTCTCTATACGTATAAGAAAATTATTAAATGCTTTTTGCTACAGTTGTAATTAAATTGCAACACAAAGAATCATATTTCTCATTCGATCTACTATTTCAGTTTGACGTTTAGTTCGTTCTGTCTTTTATGTATAAATTCATATTACCGTACCGACGTTCGCTAAAGATATTCGCCTCTCATTAGAAATGTGCATAATTAATGAAGCGGATTACCGACGAATAATATAACAAATCGATAAGCTCTTACTCCACGCAGTCCTCGACGAGCTAGGGTCAAGATAGAATTAGTATTCTTCCAATAAATCCTCTCTCAAAACTCTTTGAGAATAATTCATCTTGCTCTCCAGGTATATTCCAGGGGAATAAATATCCTTTCTTTCATGCTTAAGATATACGACTGTCTACGTTTGTAGCTCATGCTCATTACGTCAATTAGAAAGAATCAGGATTTTCCTCTTTTTGCGAACTTTATTGTACCAAACGGTCTTTGTTCAGTTAAAATAGTTTTCATTCAATTTGCCCTTCTGATTTCTTACAGCAGTATTCTTTTTTCAGACACACGATGTTTAACTCTTAGAACTCCGGCACCGCTCGAACTCATCATTTCGCGAAATAAGCCTCTTTTATGTGGCTACTAAATCTTGCTGTTTTTTTTTCTCTTTCACGGGTCACGGGTAAAAATAGTTGGAAGTTATAGCCTGCTATCATTTCTCCTATTCTGGATGTTATTCTGGAATAGTCTGAAACAGTTTCTTCGGAGTATATAGCGTTTAATGTCTGTTTTTATGTTAAATGACACTACGCCACTTTTATTACTCTATTTTTAAAAATTACAGTAATGTATTTTATGTTTTTCTATTTAGAGAAGTAGAAAATTTTTCAAAATTTTTATAATAAACGCATTATTAATTTACTGGCTCCTTGTCCTTCTTCTATATATACATTGCATTATTAATTATTATTATTGATTAATATATTAATTTTAATTTCATAAAGACTACGTGACTTCCTAAACTCGTATTTTGAAACGTAACTTATTATTATCTAGTTGAACTCGGTAACGTTTTTGTATAAGTGACTTTTATATCTACATTCTTTACACGTTGCGGCTTCTCTTCAGTTCCAAAATATTCACGACTGAATATTTATGAAGTAATGGACAGATAAACGGAGGAAAAAATTCGGTCGAGCTTCCTCTCGGCACGTATTAATTACTATCGACGAAAAACAGGGGCGTCCAGTAACACGAACATTTGGCACGACTCGCGTTCCACCGTTATTTGCTAACTAGCAAAAAACTGCACTCCAGCAGCGACGCGCTGCAACAACGTTGTTGCATAAATCGCGATTAACCTTCGCGAGAGTCCTCGCCCGCATGCGACAATCCGCATCTTGCAAGTGCAGGACCATTCCTGTGTCTGTTTTACGATCGTGATGGTCGCGAACATCGTCCGAGGATACTGTATCGAAATATTTGCAATGTATGGTAATATCGAATTTCGACAATAGGCTTGAATGTCAATTATATATCGTGTGTTCAAAAAATTTTTTTTGTGAATTAATATATGAAAGTATATAGAAAAGAAACAGATTTAAACTTTTTTTTTGAAGTTAAGATTTAGAAGTTGTTGAGAAAAATATTACAAGTAAAACACGGTATTATTTATTATATAAATTTTGTATGATTAGAGATTGGGCAATATAATTGTGGAAAATAATAATAACATCGGTCTATCATCAACTTTTGAACGAAATAGGAGATAATGTATTTTGCTGGTTTATTAATGATCAACTTAAACCCGACTAAGAATTATACCTGTTGCTGATGTAACAATCTGTATGATCACAATTGAATTCTTCCATTACGTATATTGTTCTACTTCACGAAGTGCGTTCTTGTAAAACGGACATACGGACGAGCCGGCGGTTCATTTTCGAGAGTAGTATTGATCCTGCCGTTACAGAACAAACTGGATCAATTATTTCTGTCCTGTTTTCAATAATTCAACGACGTTAGGCTGAAGCACGGGCGAGCACATAAGCAACAATTGCCTCATGTTCATTTTTTTAAATATTTGATGCTTACTTCATCGTATCCAATTTAGTCTTGAATGGTTCTAAATGTAAAAAAAGATATATATATATATATAGTGTATATATATATATATATAATTACTCTTATAAATTATATCTAATAAACTAATAGTTTTTCGAGAGTTAGAATCAATTATTTTTGTAACTAGTACAGTTGGCACTGAAATTCATCGTACTTGGAGATAGTATATATTTTTCCAATCATTAATGTATTAATTCAATTCAATCAACATTTTTGATTGGGAGTACAAAGTTGATCAGATGTTAAGCAACAAGTGATAAATTATAAGAATCCGATAAAACGATATGTTTTGACTTCTTGGATATTGCATTCAAAATTATCTCCGAAACGAACCCTTTTATTTTTTACAGTCTCCCTGCGGCAAACATTATAATTATTTTTTGTGAATTACTTAATTCGCTGGCGCCACTTTGTCGGTCGTCGATCAAAGACGGTCGAAGAAGAAAAGAATCGTAAAGCCAAAAAAGACCTAGTACAAATAGCTGATAAAATTGACAGATGCTACTCTCCGCATTCTCTGTCCGTATAATTCGATTCCCTTGATACACGAAATCAGACGATCTTGGTGCGCGCGAAACTTTTTCTTTCGAGTCGTTTCCTATTCGGCTAAATGGAGTGTCGTGGTTATAAATCGTAAAACTCTTTATCTATTATATCTTACGCATAGACTGTTCCTGAATCACACAAAAAAAACTTTCTACCCATACTCTCTTGAAGTAAATATTTTTTCTAATCAAATCTTTATTTTAATAACTTATAATTAAAATTTTCTGATATTTATTTAGAATTAAGATGAAAAAAATTAAATGCAAGAAAGAAAACACTTATTACATAAGCTATTATAATATAATATTTATTATGACATTAAAGTGTTACATTTTTGTTTAAATTATTTTTTATATGTAATACTAAATAAATCTTTTACAAAAAATTTTTATTTTAGCTGTATATTTTACGACTGTATTTATCAATGAAAGGAGAACAGAACAAATATCGACATTTTCGAAACGATCTTGAGCATTCTTCATAGGTTTTTGTAGAACATTCCAAATTGAGCTACGATTGATTGAATAGATTTCTCCTCACGTTGTGCAAATTCAGCACCAAGATTTTTTTTAGAACAAGAGTGAAGTTAACTGAATCGGTCACTAATAACTGGTTAGAAAATGATCTCGATTTGAGTTAGTTTCACATTTTTTATCAATTATTTAAGTTCTATTATTATTTACATTTTAATTGTCTTTACGTTTCTAAATCCTGTGTAAAAATATTATGGGAAATATATTAAATAAATTTAAAAAAAATGAATTTTTTCTAACAGGATGTTATTTTAAAGAAATGAAAAACATAAATCTGTTTTTTTTTTACTAAATTAGGATTAATTAACAAACTAAAAATTTTCTTTTGACAAAATTAAAAAATGTGCATCAACTAAGCTAATTACAAATAAAAATTATAATTAGCTATATTTTATTTTATTTTATTTTAGCTATATTTTATTTTCTTTTTCCTTCTATAAAAAATGTTTTTCATAAACAGATAATATGGGTCAACATCCTCACTCTGTCTAGATGTGAATGTGGAAATTTTACGGACACGATTTCGACGTTATTGCGTGTACTGACGCACTTGACGCATTTGACGCATTAGACGCATTAGACGCATTATACGGGAGTGAGTATGCAACGATGGGAAATTCTTGCCATGAATTATTGTATTATCGTGTGCCTTTATTGTCACTTACTCACCCATTCTCTGTCTCTCTCTTTCTCCCTCTGTTACACGAGAAGAGCAATCGGGATGCATATGGGGTGTCTGTCGCAAAAGTCTCGGCTAATGTACTTAATTGAAGCTGGAGCCGCCACATTATGCACCTTCATCCCACCATCATTAACGAACTGTTTCATGCAATCCCACTGAGCTATCGCCCGCGTTATCTGGTACACCCGTCTAAATAATTCTAAATGCACTTTGTGCATTTTGGGGATTCATGTATACGCCGTGATCTTAAAAAGAAAACTTTACACGTTTTGTTAAAATACATTAAAACTTCATTAAGTTAAGAAAATATTTTACTTACTTTAACGTTTAGGAACAGTATAAAGGTATGTTAAATTTATAGCTATGTTTTCATATTGCATATTGGTGCAATACTGAAGAGATGATAAAGCATCGTCTTTATTTTTTAAAAAGTTTTCCAGTCAAAGTATTGATTTAATTATTAGAGCATTATTATGTCACATACCATTTACTGACAGTCTTATACTTATTTTGTTCTTATACCAAGTTAAACACCTTGTAATTGTTATATTTAAGTGAGCTTGTCAGCTTATTTAATATTTTCAAGCTAGCGAAAATTATACAAATGTAGATAAGTCTGATCTGTTTCAAATTTAATAATCCACCTTAGACTAAATACCTCGTTAAATAATATTTAGAGGTAGAATCAATCCGCAGGTGACTGTTTCGTTTGTAAAAGTCATAATATGATTTAGGGTATCGTTATTTAACGTATAATTCCGATCGAGAGATTGCTGCGATGTGCCATCAGCCACTGACCTCTTTCATCCTTCTATCGTTTCTAGGTTGGCAGCGCAAGAGGCGACACAAAGGGACGCTGGATACGCGAGTCAGTATTACGGGAGAAGGTCGAGGTTGGCCGGATTGAGGAGTGGTCTCGGTGACTGGACTAGCTTCGGAGGGGAGGTAAGGTGATAATTATTAGTTATTGCCTTTGTCTCTGTTATCCTTAATACAAAATATCATGATTGTTCCTCTAAATTCTGTAGTCTGTGACTATCATCAGAGAATCGTTCGTTGCTTGAAAGTTTTACAGAATAATTTTTTGATAGCTTTTTTTCGGGTTTAAAATTTGTTGCAAATTTGAAAAAATTTTCAAAATCTCGAAAATACTACGATGCAAATGTGAAACACTAGAAACGTAATCTAACGACAGGTACCTACTATCAGATGAGATTAAAGTAATTAAGAAACATTGAAAAAGATTTATAATAGGTAAAAAAAGATTTACAAAGGTATTTTGTCTAGCGTATGGGTGCCATATTTAGTAAAGATTGTATTACTTAATTATTAGTATCTATATATTTAGTAAATATAATAATAGTAAGCAATTAATTATATAATATTAACCGAACATTGATTGAAATTATTTTATCAAAACTTTTTAATAACTATCAATTAGGCTTGATTAGTATTATCAGACATTTTCAATATTGTAATAATATTATACAATACTTTAAAAATATTTTAATTTTATTTTGTACGATCTAAAAATTCAACAAATAGGAAATACTGTCCATAACGATCGAAGTTGTATCTTTACTTATATATTTGCATATGTACTATTATATATTTGTAGTCATTTTGCACTGCGTATCGAAAATTTCTAAAAGTATCTATAAAATAAATCTTATGCTAATAATCTGTAAATAAATTTATTTATTGGGACAAATATTATCTAAATTCGGATCTCTAGCAATCCATGCGAACATTCAAGATGATATACGAGTATATGCAAGTACATAGTATATACATAATTTATATTGAATTATTTAAAGCATTAAAGATCCAGTTTCAATTGTTATGGCTAGTACTTCCTATTTCCTATTTGTTGAGTTATAAATTATAACTCAACAATGAAAGTCCATCCCCTCTCTCTCTTTCTCTTGAAGTTTTTTTTATCAGAACACCGGTGCTTTCAGGTACCTGGTCTGGTGGACATGGCGCCAAGCCGGGATCAAGGTGGAGGGGGAGGCGGTGGCGGTGGAGGAGGCGACAAGAGCCCCACATCATTGTTTATTCTTTCGGAAAATAATTGGTTACGAAGAAACGTACGCTTTATCATCGAGTGGCCGCCCTTCGAGTACGGTGTCCTGCTCACCATCATCGCCAATTGCGTGGTCCTCGCCCTCGAGGAGCACCTGCCAAGACAGGACAAGACCATACTCGCACAGAAGCTCGAGTCTACGGAAATCTACTTCCTGACGATCTTCTGCGCCGAGGCGAGCCTCAAGATTATTGCTCTCGGTTTCGTCCTCCACCGCGGCTCCTACCTGCGCAACATCTGGAACATCATGGACTTCTTCGTCGTGGTGACCGGGTGAGAATCGAACGCTTATTTATCAGTAAAGTCTCTTCTTTTGTCCACTTCCATTTTTTTCTTTTTGTATTCTTGATTTCTTTCCCTTATAGAAATTTAACACTAATACTGGTCAATTAATCACTTATTTTCAGTATTAAAAATACTGTTAACAATACTTTTAATACTGAAAATAAGTGATTAATTGGCTAGTATTAGTGTTAAATTTCTATAAGGGTTCCGGATCTTCTATCAGTGATCTTCAACATTTCATATGTTCTTGGAAAAAAAAGATTTCCTAAGATTGTGAATTCTTTATATTGACACATTAGTGTCATGAAAACTGTTATAAATTAATATCATGATGTTTACACGAAATAATAAGCGATTTTTCTGTTTGAAATTAGCATTGCTTCTGTTTGAAATCTGCAGCAAAAATCATTATTGCACATTCTCCTACATACATTTACATTACTCACATAAATATAGGACAGATCATTAATATTAATTATTCAAGAGAGTAAACATTGTTTCACCTATTAATTAATTTGCGGCTGAAGCGAGTGGCAAAACAAACCTCTTTCCCTAATTACATCCTTATGAGGAAACAAGATGTTGGAGGAATCGGTTTGACTAACATTGCTAAATGAGACACTATTTATGCCTTGCTGACGTAATTAGTAATTTATGTCTAATATAACAAAATTTTGATAACATTTTAAAATCTACATGATAAACTAAAGTGACTTTATTTTTTTTCTAAAAATTGATATATTACCGTACGATATATAATATAAACGGATTTATTAATAATTATTACATAAGCGTTATCTCTCTCTGATTAAAATTTTGATAGCAGTAATGTTGTTATTACACAATCTTTCACAAAATTTTAATATCTTGGCAACGTAGTCCAGAAACTGGTTCCTCCAGCTATAGGAATTAAGGAAACATGCCGATCGCCTTACTCGTTGGTCAGATAGATTCTAGAGTAATCCTTGGATTAGGTCGATGACCGTGTTCGCTGAAACAAACGTGGAAGTCGACCTGCGTATGCTACGTTCCTTCAGGGTCCTCAGACCGCTAAAGCTGGTTTCGAAAATTCCAAGTGAGTCAGTCAGAGTTCTGCGAAAGAACAGCGACTAACAAATAGCCCAAAGAAAAAAACTCCTACCAGTAACAAGTCGAGCTAATAAGTCGAGCAGCAAACGACCAGCCTTCTGTTCCTCTTTTAACCCCTTGTCCTTTCATCTTGTGTCTCCTGGCAATCTGTGTGCGGTTCTCAATAGCTACAAACATAGTTTTAATGTCTTTTCGGTACCGAAACTTAGCTCGATCCTTTCAGTTTTGGCCGATTCCGCTACTTTAGTTATACTTGATATGACGTCTAGTTCTGGCAAGCAAAAGCAGCATCGACTTAAACTATACACATATCTATATATATTATTAGTTCCCGTCCTTCTAGTTTCCTGCGTTAGTCTTCTAATTGCGTATAACGTCATATGTACGTTTTTATTAACCTTCGCTTAAAGGCTATGGGTGTCTTAGATCAGTTGATAGAGTTAGTGATGGGTAAAGTTAGCTCTCAGTTAATAATCAATATATATTTGTTGAATAATAAATAATAATATAATATTTCTATACATTTTTATATAAATTATATTTCTCTGTGTGTACGCTTTGTATTTCGTCTATATATACATGTATATGCACACATAGATATACTCTATCACTCAAAAGTTTCAGCACGTCTTATGTTTTTATCAACAAATTCATTTTTCATTTATAAAATATAAAATTATAATATAATATATATTCTCTTATTTTCGATCATAAAAGTATTTAGTAAAATTATAAAATGTCGAAAAATAATTATGTACATAAAATTATAAATTTCTTAAAAAGCAAATGTATATGAATTTCAAATTTTGCGCTAGACGCCGATAAATATTTGGATGTCATAATGACTAATAATAGGAGAATGGAAACAATGTGTTTTCATAAAGATTAAGTGCTAGATTAAATACAAATCTTTGATTAAGACACTTGAAGAATTTGTCGATAGAATACCAAAAATTTAACTTTTATTATCAAAACTTAAGGAGATTAAGCTTAAAGAAATAAAAAGTCTAAAAAATAGAAGAGATAAATTGTTTTTTTAATTTTCATAATGTACTATAATGAATTTAAAAAATATAACATGTAAATTGTATACATGGAAATTTTTATAAGTAATAAGTATATATGCTGAAATTTTTCCGCGGTAATGTATATAATAAATAAGTTTAATATTGTGTTTAACACATATAAAATATTTTTTATACAATATTAAGTTTTTTTGATTAAATTTTTGCTGACAGATATATGTGTGTTAAAAAATTATATTTTAGAAAAGCAATAATAATAATAATTACTAAATATAATAAAAATAACTGTAGTTATGTCTTCTTGTAACAATATAGAATATAGATAAAGTAACTGTAGCTTTTCTTATATTTCTACGCATTTATAACAACTCTAATTTGTTCTGTATACGTAGAAAAATGTAGAGAGCAATTTAAGCATCGTTAATCGCCAATTTCAAGTTGGAATTAACTATTGTTTCCTTTAAGTGTTAGGAAGTAATATTTAAATCGTCTGTATGTAATAGAGAGGAAGACTCTATTAACTACTCAGTAGTTCAATATTTCGAAAGTGTATCATGCTTTCTTATTGGAACAAACTAATGATGATTTGAGGATCAATCGTCTCCAATTCCGTACATCGAGGATGCGCACTCACGAACAGGTGGACAGGGGAAAAAAAGAAAACACACACACGCACACAGATGTGATGACCCACAGAGTGCCTATATTTAGCGATTAGCTATCTTTAGCTGCAGTTGCGCTAAATAATAGAGACGACTATACATTGTTAAATGGGTACGTGTCCTAGAGCAGATAACGCTCAACGGCAAATCCGTTAAAATCCGTTCCTTTAGAAATTCACGACAGAACAAATCGTTGCTTTGCGAGTGTCCATAATTTTAGAAGACGATCACCTTTTTCCAATTTACATTGCTAGGATTAGCAATTTTTGCTTCTATCAACTTTATCACAAGCTAGTTTGTTTTTCATTTATTAACCATTTTCATTAGCACATTGTTAACAGTGGACGTTTTCCATTTATAACGCAGAAATTAAGTACATATTTTAATGGAAAAATATTCGATATATCGTAATTAGCCTCAGATATTTAGCTATTTCAGAAATATATTTTTTTATTTTGTAATCTTTATTACTCTTATGCAATTTATCTTCAAAATTAAAATAAATGTTTTTTATTTTATTTTCTATTTTCAGAATTAGAAAGAATATTTAGCGTTGAAAGTTGCTGAAACTTCTAATATTTAATAGCTTCGTAATATGATATTTGAGATGATATTTTTAGGTTTAATTTTGATATTTTTAAAGTATAGAACTAAATTATTTTTTTCAAATATTTGGTCCTACAATCGAAGAACATTTGTTATGTCAGAATATAATAAATGAAAAAAATATAGAGTTTTTGAATTCGTTGTCTAGCAGTTTAGAAGAAATTTAACAAATGTTCATCTATCTTTTATGGATTGATGTGAATCTTTTCGAAAAGCTTCTGCTATTCGAGAGAGTCAGAAATAGATAAGTGGCGGTCGATGACCGTACGGGGTGAACTGATATCTTCGAGAAACGAGCGCCGAGTTTAGGTGTGATTATAGCCACTATCACTAGCTCGTCTCAGCATTTGACATTCTCCTAGACCTAGATATACAGTATTTTACATAGTCTACGTATATACATAGAATGTACGTATATACATACATAGATATGTTTACACATCTATACATCGATCTTATTCCTTCGCAGCGCCCTTTTCAGTAGAACATTGCCCTATCCTGTCAGATCATTTATTTTTTACTATAACGTTAAATTTGTTAAAATAGAAGAAAATATTTTCCCTTCAGCATATTAAAAATTCAGAATCACAATGTTATTAACTACTTTTACAATTTAAAATTGCGATTATATACCGCGGTACTTTAATAATATTTCTTTAAAAATATCATATTAAAATAAATTAATACAGATGCAGATTATCGATTTCTTTTAAATTGATATTTATATTATAATGAATAAAGAAAGAAGCTCAGAAAAATGTGTGAATTTGATATTTGCTTAACCGTAATACAAAAATAAAGGTGCCCCTTCTTTTTTAAGAGTCTGTTTTAAACTTGAAACATTTTTTTAAATTATAAGTACTTTTTTTATTAAATTACACGATTCATTTGGGATTTATCACGGACAGACATTCTGTTGTAAATATCTATTTATATTCATTTTGCGTTCTCGAAGTTTAATTTACCAGAGTTCTTTGATCTTCTACATATAAAAATTCCATTCGATCGTCCTGATAGCATTATCTCCACAGGCTAGAAAGAACGCTAGTTAACCATCTAGTGGACGTAGTATAAGTACTTAAGAGTAGCGTGAGTATTAGTGTAATAGAGTAGTAAGTAGTAAAGTGTGGCGGGGTGTGTGTGTTTTTGGGGCAGGATCATCACGGCGCAAGGCAAAGACCTGGATATGGATCTGCGCACGTTGCGTGCGATACGCGTGTTGCGACCGCTCAAACTTGTCTCCGGCATACCGAGTGAGTAGCGCATTAGTACAAATTGGAAAGCGATCGATTTTTTGGAACTCGAAGGAGTTCTGCTCGAAAATCCAAAGAGGTCTCGCGTTGCTGGGGAAATCCCGTTGTAAACGAAATCCTCGGCGAGATCGTCGTAAATAACGCACGAAATAGATGCTCACACCTTAACAATAGATATTTACACCTTAAACTTAACATTTAAGGTTTTAAAAATTAATATTTTTTAAGTTTGTTGTGTGTGTAAATGAATCTCACATTTATTTTGAATAAATAATCATATTCGATCATTAAATTATTGTTGAACATACGTTATGCGCGCATGTGGTATTAGATGAAGGTGTGAGCTCAAGCTAAAAGTACATTTAGCGCTAAATGTTTCATTTCATTCTATATTCTACTGCTATATATTACGTATGCACGTTTAAATAAGAAAATATTAATTTGAAAAATATTTCAAATGTGATATGTTCCTTTTTAGATGAATATATTTTGGCGCTAAACGTGCGACAAAAATAAAACGATCTCGTTGCTCGATAAAATTTACTTGGTAATGAATAATGAATGCAAACAATTCGAAACTTCTTCGTGTCTGAGATTTGGATACCTCGAAGATCGAATACGATCCGCCGTCGAGAATATTTATTTCTCGAATAGTGGCTAATAGATTTAATAAGGATTTGAATAACAGATATATGAAGTCAAGTAGATCAGAGTTAGTCACATTTAATCGCAAATATATTTGTATATTACCCGTAGAATGCTTTCTGTCGAATTGTTCGTTTTATGTTAGTAGTATTGTTCAGATAGTACTACTCAGAGCTCGATGTTGTATTTAGATGCGGCGGAGGTATTCTAGTTCTTGGACGCAGAATCATTTCGAGTTATATCAAATAAACATATGTTTTAAATATGGGATTACTTCAAGTCACTATAAAATCTAAATAATGTATGAGAATATTACAAAACCTATAGACGACAACTTTGATCAACTTGTAAATCATTATTCCGTCAAATAGAAAGAATATTATCTTATTTCTTATTAAAAGTTGATCTTCATCAAATATTAATCTTATGTTTATCTATATTTAAAAAATTACGTACAATTTCTTGGGCAATGAGATCAGCGATAATGCACGCAAATATCGAGCAAAGAATTCCACATCAATTCTGTAGGTACAGTGGTTAGGCTTACTTACTCTTTGGAAATTCTTTTGCGAATAGGTCTTCAGGTGGTGCTCAAGTCTATTATTAAGGCAATGGCGCCGCTTCTGCAGATCGGCTTGCTGGTACTCTTCGCCATCGTGATATTCGCCATCATCGGCCTCGAGTTTTATTCGGGTACCCTGCATAAAACATGTTACAATATAATGGACATCAGTGAGTGTACTCAGTTGATCTTCTAGAAATTTTTGTTCAACACTATTGCTTATAATATTACTTGCTTTATTATATATATTACCATATTACTATATTATTCAATTTACCATACAAAAGATTGAAAGAAAATTGCAAATATATAAAAATATAATTTACGTTTCTGATTACTTAGAAAATATATACATATACGTTTCAATTCTCTTTCAGGCCGTTCAGGCGTTATAATATATGAAATATTTTGACAATATTGAACGTTGCAGATGAAATCGTAAAGGAGGGCGATATGCCGAGTCCGTGTAGCGCAGACAACAGAAATGAAGCCCCACCCGGGGCCCACGTGTGTGACGCGAACGTTTCGACGTGCATGGATCACTGGGAGGGACCAAACTCCGGCATCACCAGCTTCGATAACATCGGATTCGCCATGCTCACTGTCTTCCAGTGTATCACTATGGAGGGCTGGACTGCCATATTGTACTGGGTAAAACAAGAAATATGTTCTTCAGTGTTAAAGTTTTTTCTCTCGTTCTCTTTCTATCTGTTATCATATTTCTCTATTTTTCTCTCTTTGTCTCTCTCTTTTTCTCGCTCATTTTTTTCTGTTATTGTTTAAATTTTACCCTCTCGCGCACGATTTGTCCTCGCAATATCGTTATACAAAAGGTACGATAGCGAACATTCTCAAATCTCTGTGTTCTCGTAGAATGTTGTTGCCCAGTCCCATCAATCCTTTATTAACCGCTTCGCGATTCGAATATCGCATTTTTGTACTAAACTAAATAATTCTTTCCCTCGTAAATTTACCCTTTTAGAAGAAAGAGGATATTATCGTTTTAACTGTTTCGATACATGTACTTTCTTCCATCCGCTTCTAAGTGTCTCTTCTTCTTTCGCAATTTTCGGTTTCCTTATATGCATATGTTCGCCTCCTTTCTGTGTCCGGCTTTAGCCAAATTTACCGCGGCTTTCGGGGTAAAGAATGCCTTGCGGAAACAGCTAACACTGACGTATATGTTCACCTTGCTCAGTATAACACTGTCAGTTCCAGCTCTCTTTTTCGATGTTTCAATATTCAATGTTAATTATACCTTTTATTGTGCTTGACCCTTTCGTGATAGATAAAAATATATTTTTTATTGATCATGGAAAGGTTAATGTTCTGCAGTCAATGGATCACAAAGGATTTTACAATATTTTATTGTTATATATTTGTTATTGTAAACAATAGATTATTTTGAAACCCTTCAACGTAATTCATCGTCTGTAACGTAATCGTTATTTATTTACGAAAATCTCGAAAAAATTTCGATTACCTCATCGATTTTTGTAATATATAGGGTAGCCCGCGGTAAAATGTCAGACGGAAGAAAATGCCATGCTTCGAAATTATATATATATTGTATATTTGGAGAATTTTTATAAAAACAGATCTAGTATAGTTTTTAAATTATAAATTTCGATATACCTTAGTTTAACACATTGTCTGCCTTGTGAATTTTTTGTATGTTTTATTGTATATAGTACAATGCCCTCCTTAAGTTTAAAAACACCTTACGTGTTAAAGGTAAACATAACAGCGATCTATACATGTTTTTGATTAGATCATAAGACATCTAAATTATGATAAATATTTTTATTTAGAACACCTGTAAGTTTGTACATTTACACTTGTACAAAACTTTATATTAATGGATTCGTTTATATAAATGACATTTATTTTTATAAACGTTTTAAAAAATTTTAACTAATCGCTATCATGGCAGTCAACGTGCTAAGTATTTGAAAACCTGTAGAGTCTTTATTAAGATAGCGAGTAACGAGTAGAGAGATGTAGCGAGTAGTCCCAGATTAGTTTCTTTTATTATAAAAAAAATGGCATGTTTCTCTCGCCCTATTCTTTTTCCACGGGTTACCACCAGCGATACTGAAGTTTCATGAAACCGATGTTGTCTTGCGTAAATGCGATCGACGAATGTTCAATCTATGATGTCTTTTTTTAGATCAAATCTTCCCTTCATGTGGGATAAAATTTTTCTTTGTGAAGGGAAATGAATATTATCGAATAACGATAAATAAATTCGAGCTCTCACACTTGTACGATCACATTTGCCACATCGTGTTTGATACAACGAGATTACAGTGCCAGTGCCTCTGTGTATCTGTGTTGCATATAACTTTTGCTGTTAATTAATATATCTTCGGCTGTGTAACCGGTACATATGTGTACAAGCCACATTACTGTTTTCATATTGATTCCAATCGAATTTGCAGACAAATGACGCTCTTGGCAGCACGTACAACTGGATTTACTTTATACCATTGATCGTCCTTGGATCATTCTTCATGCTGAACTTAGTTCTTGGTGTCTTGAGCGGGTGAGTATGTGTCCCTTTTGACAACACTCCGCGGTCTATCCGCTCAGTTGTTACATTTATCGACCGACAATCGCTTTCATCCGACAAGATCGCGAAGTGCATTATTTCAGAATGATTTTCTTTCCTCGTCAGGGAGTTTTCTAATGAAAGAACGCGCGTCGAACGGCGGGCAGCTTATCGGAAAGCGAAGAGCAAACGACTCTTTACCACTGCGTTCAGTTCCTACTTAAAATGGATCACTCAAGCAGGTCTTCAATTAGCAGATGTTGCCTGACATTAGTGTGCCATAAACCGTATTCTTTTAGCGTATTTAGCACTGCTATGAGATCAGAAAAATAAAATACATTAAATATATTAGTTTATAATAATCAGTTAATCATCTTAAATATCATTTATCTTTTTTATTTAAAAAAATATTAAGCTTCTTTCTTTTCTTAAGTTTCTTTATTTGTAAATTACGGCTGATTTAATATCTCTAATTATATGACATTTGTTATTAATATTGTATTATAAGATTATATGCTTTTTGTGTGAAAAAAATGGGAATTTTTTAGTGCTGAACATGCAATGAGAATACGATGCAAATTATATATTTATAGAAATGTGAATTTTTAGGCCCATTTAATTAACACTAAATATTTTTTTAATTTTGATTAAGAGAAATTAAAATATATGCAAGAATAGTAGTTAATGAATTCATCATAATCTCGTGTATGATACATTGCTCTCCTGCGTAAGCTAGTTTCAAGAATTCTGCAAAAGAATAAAGAAAAAAAATCATTTCTTTTTAATACTCTCAATTGGCATTTTCCCCCAAATAAGTATAAATATTGTTGATTTATTAAACAAGGCAGTACCGCTAGAATATTAACGGCGGAATGCCTGAAAGTCCTCTGGTAAGCTTAGCTTTTATGCTCCTGAGTAAGCTGCCATATCATCGGTATTGTATCATCACGCTTGTAGAGAGTTTGCGAAGGAGAGAGAAAAGGTGGAGAACCGGCAGTCCTTCTTGAAGTTGCGAAGACAGCAGCAGCTTGAGCGCGAACTGAATTGTTACCTCAATTGGATCTGCAAAGCAGGTTAGAATAATTGCCGTAGACAAAACACATGAATTAAAAAAGATTAACCTTATTTCGCAAAGACTGAGAAAACATTGTTAAAAAAATCGGTAGTATAAAACAAACCGCGTATAAAATACTTCAAAAATAATATAATATTTAAAATTGACAGAAGAAAATAATAATTATTTGCATTAAATGTATTTAATATTTTATAATCTCTGTAAATCTGAAAATTAAGTAATAAATTTCTTACTCTTCTATCAGTGCATAAATACTGATATTGAGAATTTTAAACAATTAAAATTTTTATATTTTTGTTTGAATTTTATTGTAATGTCTCAATATTATGTTACAACTTTATCTCGTTTTCATTTTTGACGGGAATTTTGTGAAACACGATAGTGAAAGTTAAAAAATTATGCAATGGCAAAAGAGTTAAACATATATAATCTTTTATCGATCTATTTTAATTCATTTATTTTGTAAACAGTGTACCTGCAAAAGTTATAGCTCACCGTATATGCTAGACTCTCTACGTGTCGCTTTTTCGTGTATAAAAGTATAATGCACGTAATATTAATTATTGTTAATACGTAACGTTTACTTTTTAGAGGAGGTGATACTTGCCGAAGAGAGGACCACGGAAGAGGAGAAAATGCACATATTAGAAGGTCTATATAATGCAACACATATATCGATATCATGAATATTCACTTTTATAAGATTGAAAAGATTTGCAAAGCGATCTATATTCCGAAACGTGTTCGTACATATTAATATAGAATGCTCCGTGTACTCAAAGTGCACTTGCACCCTCATTTCTTTCAACATAGTCAAATTTCAATTTCTCAATTTTTTTTTTGTTAGAAATGTATTAAATGCTGTAATCAGCTTAAATAAGACATTCCTATGGTATATTTTATAATTTAAATTAATTTTATTAATAGCTGGATTAACAATCAATGTAATTTTTCGCTTTTTACTGCATGAGAAATAACACGTTATTCCTACAGTACATGTTACATGTAAATGTTATATAGAAATATAATTTGATAATACGATTTATGCACATTTATTAGATCACAAAATACAAAATACTTTGCAACATATAATGATATAATTATTGCAAATTGTGAATGATTCTTTCAATAATTCTATCAATATTTTTCGAAATATCGGACATGTAATTTATATATTTTCAATGAAAGATTATTTAAGTCGTAATTTTCATGAAGGTTTGCGTGGCTTAACATATTTTTTTGTTTTGTGCAGCAAGAAGAAGAGCAGCGGCAAAGAAAAGAAAGCTGAAAAATCTCGGCAAGAGCAAGAGCACCGACACAGAGGAGGAGGAAGGCGAGGACGGTGAGGACGATGGTGAGTTGTATTTGGTCAACTTGATGTTCAATTGTACCCAGTATTCTCTTCTTCTTGTTTATCTCTTTTACATTTCGAGTTGATGATTCTTCAGAATATTCGAAATTTGATCAAGTTTAAGTAGTAAAGATTTACATGATTTCTTATAGTAGTCAGAACCTATGTTATACATATATGAATCAACGATTTCCTCTAGAAGAGTGAAGCAATTAAAAAGTAAATTTAACGAAATTTAGAAATAAAATTTATGAAAATTTAAGTTGTATTATGGTTATACTCTCTCTCTCTCTCTCTCTCTCTCTTTCTCTTATGTGTGTGAATCATAAAATTAGTTAAGGATTAAATTCCATGCTTGAAAAATACAAAACATTTGCGATTTAAAAATTCATATTGGTGTGAAGGAAGTCGTTGATTCAAGATTTTGACCCGCCTTTTCTCTTGTTCTAAAATTTCTCTCCATTTATATATTGGCACGTTAGCGTATTTCCACGTTTATTGACGTATTTGTTAATACTTTATGGATTCACGCCTGATTTATCTTACGTATCGAAAGGAAAAGAAAAGAACGACGCTGAAAATTAACTTCTTCTAATTTTTGCCGATGAATATTCTAAACACACGCTATCAGATGCTCCTCTTGTTTCAGTGCCTAAGAAAAAGCTCAAAGGTAACTACAACCGTGAATGCCATGACTTTTCGCAAAGAGCTACGTAAAAATAAGGCTGTATTTGTAATCTTACGTAATTGTTTTATTTTTGTATTTTTATTTAAAAAAATTTTTGTTGGTAATATACACACGTACAAGTAATATCGCGCGTACACGATCACAAGTACATGATTAGATATGAGCTATTGCTTGGTAAATGACTTACTTGCCTATTCGCGTATGCAGGATGTATTAATAATCGCTCTTTTTCATTTAAACATGTAAGAATTAATCTTCTCACATTATTTTATAAATGATATAGGCCTAGATAATTTTATTCAGCCTAATTCGGATTAAAAATATTCTTTCAGCGTATATATCATTTGAAATATTTGAATATCTGATAATTATATACATTGATATAAGCTTTTAAAAAATGAGAATAATAATTAAAAATTAATTAAATATCTGAATATCTTTTATCACACAAAAATGTTAATAATTGAAATGCTCATTTGTAACAGTTATGTAATTTTAATATATACAAAATTATGTATTGCTCTCTGCGTAAAAGTATAAACTGGCAAAGGGCCACTTTACACATTCAGACGAAGTATGGTCGTCGCATAGCTAGATTATGTATTATTTATATGGTATTAAAATCGAAGCCTGTGATTACTCGTGGTAGAGGATGTAATTATTGCATTCTATTATACAATTACTTGGATCGACTGCTGCTAATTTTGTGACTGATATGTATCACTTAAGATCACGTGGACTGCGCGAGAGACAGATCGGAAAACTCCGGAGCTAATTTTTTTAAATTTTTAGATATTGCTTTTTTTATGTATTAGTTATCACGATATATAAATATTAGATTTTCTTTGAGTCTGGGAACATTTGCATGAATATTGTTCTGAATTTTTTTTTAAATAAGGAAATAATGTGTGTATATATAATATATAATTTTAAAAAAGGATTAAAACCATTTTCTTATCATCTTAAATTTCTAATTTTTCAACATACAAAAAATTTGTTTACGTTAATAATTATAGCATATAATAATCTTTTCCGTGAAATGAATTTTTGAAATGAAATCGCAAATCTTTTATTAAACAATTGATAATAACATTATCATTATTATCATTAAGTGCCAATGTTTTCGGCGGAAATATTTCTACACTGTTTAAGTGTACCATGTGGTGATGGAATATTGTGATTAATGTTTTTATTATTCAGTTATATACGATTATATAATTTTAGTTTGTTAAAACTGACAGAACAGTAGAATATTAGTGTTGTCAAACGAGAAACTGAATCTCCTGAGTAGTGTTTGAATCCCATCCTATAGAATTTGATAGATGGGCTAATTTCAGCCTGTCGTTCACACATAGTAATAATAGTAATAAATAGCCACAATATATACGTATCGCCATATAATAGTGGTAACCGCTTAGTAGAATACATTAGCATAGAACTTTGTGTGTCTATTCTTATATCTATTTTTTGTTAAACCGGTAATAAATAAAATTTTCTAATTCTTCCAATTGATAAAATAATTCTAGAAATATTTGATTTCTTTTTCTGATCATAAAAATTCTAACATACAAAATGTATAAACATGATATATAATATTTAAGGCTGTTTAGATTAATGAATATATTATTTAAATCAATATGGCAATTTTATAATAGATACTCATTGGTCCAAATAATTTTATGCTATGTTGTGCTATACTTATACATTTTGTGTAGGAAAGCCTTAATATTTATTTATCCTCATTGTCGGTTTATCCTCAAAACTTCTATAAGAATGTCATTATACGCAATGTTCAAATATTTCAAAAAACTTTAATAGATTCTCTATCATACTTTAGATTATATAATTTGAATTTTGTATTTATAGTCGCAGAAATAGCTTAGTAAGTAGTACGAAACGTGAAGATGTAGACATAGTGTAAAAAATTATTCTGAAGTCAAAGAAAAATTATGTAATTTACATTAAAACAAAAATACATACAATATCGTTCAATTTAACAATCAACTGGACTGTAAAATATATTTTAAATGTTTTATTAATTTTATGCTGAAAAAGTGTTATTATACTTTGTAGGGTTCTCGAGAGCCTCCTACTTTAAGTCGAAGGTGAAGAAGCAGGGCACGTGCCTACAATTCTGGCGAGCTGAGAAAAGGTTTAGGTTTTGGATACGCAATTCCGTCAAATCACAACAGTTCTACTGGTTCGTCATCGTTCTTGTGTTCTTTAACACCGTCTGCGTGGCCGTCGAGCATTACAATCAGCCAAAATGGCTCACCGATTTCCTCTGTGAGTTTTGTAAAACTTTAATATTATTATTCCATTTAATGAAAAAATACACATTACACTTAGCATAGTAGAAATTTGATTTATAAAATTAGCTTATATTAAAGGCCATTTTGACAGTCAACCCATTAAGATCTAAAGGATTTCAGCGTAATGAAAACTTATATATCTAAAAGGTTCAAGTTCTTCAAGATCTTAATGGTTTCAGTTTAACTTAATGTTTTGTTATTCACAGACTACGCAGAGTATGTGTTCTTGGGCCTTTTCATGATGGAGATGTTCATAAAAGTCTACGCGCTCGGTCCTCGCACATACTTCGAATCGAGCTTCAATCGCTTCGACTGCATCGTCATCTCGGCCTCGATCTTCGAGGTGATCTGGTCCAAGTTGAAGTCTGGCTCTTTTGGCCTCTCCGTCCTACGTGCCCTTAGACTCCTGAGAATTTTTAAGGTCACCAAATACTGGAAGAGCCTGAGAAACCTCGTGATATCGCTGCTAAGTTCGATGCGCAGCATCGTTTCCCTTCTCTTCCTGCTCTTCCTCTTCATCCTCATATTCGCGCTGCTCGGTATGCAGCTATTCGGTGGCCAATTCAACTTTGACGATGGCACGCCGCCCACAAACTTCAACACCTTTCCCATCGCACTACTCACTGTCTTCCAAGTGAGTACAATCGATCATTATTACGATTCTAATATATGAATATTCAATTCTGATCTTAAATATGAAAATATCATAAGATATAATTGGTCTTTATTTACTAAAATTTTCTAAATTAGTTATTCTCGTTTAATAAATATAATTTTATTGCATCATATATGCTTTAGTTGTTCCAAGTGTCTAAAATATATAGCGAGAAAAGTATCCGTTTTATAGTTTCATACAATTCGTATACTTTATGATACAAATAAACATTAAATAGATACATGATAAAAGTATAGTTTGTGTATGCATATTTTAAATACAGTGGAAATTGGGTATCTAATAATAAATATGTATTATTCAGTAAATGAAAATTAGATGGTTTTTTCTTGAACTAAAAAATATTCGATTGATGTAATAATTGATAATGATTATGATACAGATCCTGACTGGAGAAGACTGGAACGAAGTGATGTACAAGGGTATCGAGTCGCAGGGCATGGCCCATTCGCTCTACTTCATCGTGCTGGTGCTCTTCGGCAACTACACCCTGCTGAATGTCTTCTTGGCTATCGCCGTCGACAATCTCGCGAACGCGCAAGAACTAAGCGCCGCCGAGGAGGAGCAGCAGGAGGAGGATAAGGAGAAACAGATGCAAGAGCTCGAGAAGGAGATCGAGTCGTTGCAGAGACGTGGGGACGCACCGAGGGTGGAAATCTGCCCTCCTAGTCCAACGCAGAATTTGTAAGTCTTATTCTCTTTTTGCTACATTTGTAAAAATTCTTGTCTTTTCTTGACGTTTTGTATTGGTAGCAAATAATATTTATGACTTTTGAGTAAGGTAGAATAGAAAATTTTATAAAATCTTTGATACTTACATAAATATTGTGACTTTATGTAAATCTTAATTGCAAGACTATGTGAACAAAGTGATTATTAATTATGCATAATAAGATAAAGTTAATAGTCATTATTAATTATTTATAATTATTTAATGAAAAATTGATAATTATACATAATATAGATTAAAAAATGTAAAACGCAATATTGACGGAGAGCCACAAAGTGGAGAACGACGTCTCATCTTTTCCAGCAGAGACGGAAGAATTGAAACCCAGACGTCCGAAGAGAGGAGGCAGGATGAAGACGACGACACGGGACCAAAACCAATGCTGCCATACTCCTCCATGTTTATACTGTCCCCTACGAATCCGTAAGTGTTGATAATAATCTGATCGCTCGGAATTCTTTTCCAAAAATATTGAATACCATAATAAATCATAATATTATTAGATAAAATCAGATGATACACATAAATTAAAAAGCGCAGCAGACACCTGCTTTTATTAACGATCGTATTAATTGTCTATTAATCATTTCGATATTTTCTCCTATATTTTAATATTGTATTGTATGCATTATTTTTTTATTTCAAGAACGAGATTGTTACTTTCGTCGAAATAATGGAATAACTTTCTGTTTATAGTATAAGAAGGGGTGCCCATTGGATCGTGAACCTTCGATACTTCGACTTCTTCATAATGGTGGTGATATCGTTGTCGAGTATCGCGCTGGCTGCTGAGGATCCTGTTTCAGAGAAAGCGTCAAGAAACCAGATCCTCAATTATTTCGATTACGCGTTTACCGGCGTCTTTACTATCGAAATGGTGCTAAAAATCATTGATCTTGGTATCATACTGCACCCGGGTTCGTACCTGCGCGAGTTCTGGAACATTATGGACGCAGTCGTAGTGATATGTGCTATGGTGTCGATCGCCTTTGATATACTCGGTAGCTCTTCTACGGCCAGCCAGAACCTCTCGACCATCAAGTCACTACGAGTGCTGCGAGTACTCAGGCCGCTTAAGACAATAAAGCGCGTGCCGAAGCTCAAGGCGGTGTTTGACTGCGTGGTGAATAGTCTCAAGAATGTCATTAACATTCTCATAGTGTACATATTATTTCAATTCATATTCGCTGTAATTGCGGTGCAGTTGTTCAACGGTAAATTCTTCCACTGTACCGACGACAGCAAGTATACGCAAGAGGATTGCAAGTAAGTATATAATTTGAGTATATTATTCAACCTTGTTGTTTTTACTTATCGACATCAGAAGCATTTTGGAGAGAATACACATAAATATATTGATGCATTTAATAATAATCGAAGCTAGAACATTTGATTTTGAAAAGTAAGCGAATAAATATACATATCTTTAAAAGGGCAAATGAAGCTGAAACTAAAAAAAGTTCTTCGTTTCATTCTTATTCTCGAATTATATTTTTATAAGTGGCGTCAGTATAGAAATGGAGACTAATTTTGTTTTCGCGATAGTGGACACTTCTTCGTTTTCGAGGAGGGCAAGTTGCAACCGGAGCTCAAGCCACGGAAGTGGCAATCTCAGTCCTTTCACTACGACAACGTGATGGTGGCCATGCTAACGTTATTCGCTGTCCAGACCGGTGAAGGTTGGCCGCAGATTTTGCAAAACTCGATGGCTGCCACATACGAGGACAAGGGTCCTATCCAGAATTATCGTATTGAAATGTCCATTTTCTACATCGTCTATTTCATCGTCTTTCCATTCTTCTTCGTCAACATCTTCGTGGCCTTGATTATCATTACATTCCAGGAGCAGGGAGAAGCTGAACTGCAGGACGGTGAAATCGATAAGAATCAGGTAATGTTTCATGTTACCTGTTATTAGTTGTCTTCAGAAAAAGGAAATATATATATATATATATATAAAATTTAATTTATATACATATACATATAATAATTCTATAATTTATTTAAATATATGTATAAATAGATTCTTTTAAATATACAAATTTATGTTGGCTCTTTATGTCTTAATTTTTTACATGTCATTTTAGACAATATATTTATGTGATACATGATATTTTTTAGCACAGATATTAATGCATTGATAATTCCGTATTACTCTTTCAGAAATCATGTATAGATTTTACAATACAAGCTCGTCCGCTCGAGAGGTATATGCCGAAGGAGCGGAATAGCATTAAGTACAAAATCTGGAGGATAGTCGTATCTACGCCATTCGAATATTTTATCATGATACTCATCGTATTAAACACATTATTGCTTATGATGAAGGTAAGTGTCATGATCTCTCTCTTGTGTTGCATTGCAATTTCTTTAAAGAGATTCATTAATCAAATTATCAGTTTTTTTCCCTGATTAGCTTTACAGGAAACGCGAATAACGAAAAAAGAAAGTGTTTTAGAATACGAAATTTTTTATGAAAGTAATCGAAAACAAAACTTAAGCGTATTAACATTAATAAAAATTTTTTCGAGCATAATAAAAGCAGCTCAAAAGGATTTTTATAAACTTAGTGGTCAGTTTTGTTTTTGATTTTTTATATCACGATTCCAAATCAAATGAGGCATAAGTGCAAATTATTATTATTATAAAACTAATAAGAGAACAGGGCTACGAGCCATAGATTCGTCAAAATCTTTAATTTTTATTCTAATAAATTATTTTTTTTTTTTCAAAATGCATTTATTTATAAAAGAAAATAACATTCATTATTTTCTTTATTTGAAATCACGACAAAATATTCTTCGGTCATAGTATAAAAATATTTTTATTAGATGTTAAGGCATATTACTTATTGTTAGATGTATTAGAGATAATCTCTGTAAAGTATCTAAAAAATTAGAAATTTGTATTATACTTTCTATATATTAAAAAAAGTAAATATACTGATTTACATTTAACATTACAGCTTTATAGATTAAGTGAAAATTTTCTAAATTTTTAACTTAATTTGTTAAAAACATGTTTTCTTCTTATTAAAATAACTTTTTATTTAGATTCTAAATCGCCAAAATTTTTGTATTATTTTCAAATAGAATATAGAAAAATCTGTAATTTTTTCACAATTTTATTTTGTTAAAAAATACGTCTAATACATCTTTAAGAAAAAAATAATTCAAAAATTAACTTGGAAAGAAAAGGGCACTAGGAGTTAAGCGTATAGATAACTTCACGCAACGCCGATATATATCTAGCAAATCTATCTATTATAAAAAATTATTAAATAAATAAGCTTACATGTTTCGACTCATTTTTTAGCCTTCTTCAGAGACAATACAATTTTCATAAATAAATTATAATTTAAAAAATAACAAAGATAAAAAGATGTTTAATCATAATGAGCTCACTCACAACCGAGAAATAGATTCAAAAGACAATTTCATCCTAGGGAGTACAATCAAATGCATAATAACGGAAGAAAGGAAAGAAATAAAGAAGGTTGAAAAAATGGGTCGAAACATGTAAGCTTATTTATTTAATAATTTTTTGAAGTTATCTATGCTTAACTAGTGCCCTTTTCTTTCCAAGTTAATTTTTTATTTATACAGGAGTTTGTTATTTAAGAATTAATATATTTTAAAAAAATAATTCATTTGATATATTTTTTTACTTAAGAATGAGCTTATGCCTCAATTCTGGTATTGCGATGTATCGCTCGTTTATCTTTGCGTCCTGCGATACTTATCGTTTCTAATTTAATATTCTCCCGCACATTCTCTTAACATAAGACCCGTTAGGTCTGTCGGCAATTTTAACCAATCGACAAACAGTTTCGTCTTTTGTTAACATAACAAAGATACGCGAGATCATAAACGAGAATATGTCGCGTCCAAGCAGAGCACGTAATATCGAAAGACTGTATCATATCTATATATCATGTTATGTACTTACGAGGACATTGTTGTTCTTGCCTGCTGACCTTTTCTGATCGTTTTCTCTGTATAACTGTATCACCCTTGTATTTTATCAATACGTGTACACAGCTATGTCGAACTTCATCGTTTCCTGAAACTCTTTCAGCAAAATATCTTCCTCCCGAATAATATAATGTTTGTTTTGCTTCTACTTTGTTTTTTAATTCTAATATTCTAAAAATATATTTTATATTTTTAATAATTTAACAAAAGACTTATATACAGTACTATATCTTTCAGCAATAATTATTATGCAATGAACTTAGAGTTTAATTGTTATTTCACGTATTTATAATTAAGATCTTATAACATAATACTTAATAAATTAATTTTACAAATATAAATTAACGATTCCTTGATATCCAAAATATTAAATAATTTTTTACAGATTCTGATTACTTATTATTAAAATAAATTAAATAATTGCAGTTATTCTAATATTTCAATATTACATAGGAATTACAGTGTATTTAAAGAAATTAGTAAATAACTTTTTAAATAATATTGTACATTGTGTAATTTTTATATTTTAAATTTTACGTTTTAATTTTTATGTACAGCAGTTCTTTTACAACATAGATTTTATTTACTTACAATATTTATTCCTTTAAATATCTTGAAGATTAATAAAATGAAGTTTTCTTTTTATTCTATTATTTTGCTTTAAATTCGTCGTATATTCTTATATTTATTTTTTTCTTTACCTCTCAGAATCGATTTCTGTTTGATCCTTCATTCCAACTGCATGATTGCCGCTGCGTCCTCGTCTTTGAAGTAGACTTATTCGGGAGCGTGTAAAAAGGGAACACGTTTTCGTGTACTATATTAATTGTAATCCCTATATCATGTATAGACACCAACACAACGTGCGTTCGACTCATACATTCACCTTGCTAATACCATGTTTTAACTGGTAACGGGATAAAGCGTTGCATCTCAACCCGTCCTAGCTTGATACAATTGACTTAGGAAATTAAGATGCCAAAAGATTGCGCTTTTTGGCGTCTACAAACCCTGCACGTGAGAATCCACGTGTTATTTTGAAGCACTTTTAACCCCTGCCCATAAGCTATCTGATTCTTTCTTTTTAGTGGTTTTCTCGGAAAATTTAATTAAATTTTTCTTTCAATTTAAATTAAATTTAATATATAGCTAAAATAGTAAATTAACTTAACGTTTTTATATACTTAAGATCGAGTAATTAAAGGAGGGTAGAAATTTTCGAGGGTTTTCCGACCACTTGGGGATCGTTTTATTTATATATTTTCTTATGTATTTTTCTTCGTAGAAATCGAAAATAATCATTATAATATAATAACGCCAGATTAAAGGAAAAATTAGTATATTGAAATAAAATTAACAAAATCCTTATTCGCATCGTTATGAAATCACTGTCAGTGCCTCAATGATTTAGAAATTAATTCAAAATTGTATACACTATATACAATATTGCACCACAAAATGTTAATTAGATTGTATTATTTTTGTATGCAATTGAAGGCTTTATTAATAGTTATAAAATAATTTTTATATTATTTTATTTATATTGTTTATTACATTTGATTAATAGCAATAGTTGAATAGATTTGAATGTTAAATCAAATTAATTATAAATCAAAAATTTGTTTCTTGAATTTTATTATCTACTTTATTAGTTGTCTGTTAATAACTAATATATTGTTACAAACTACGCTACCTGTTTTGAGAGTTTTCTTTAATTTGATCCACTTCCACAAATTCTATTAATTCACTGTATATTAATTAGATTCGTGCACGCTTTCAGTTTTGAGCCGAATCCTGTATTCTATTGTGAGTTTTTTTTATTTGCTTTCCAATTTCTATGACTTGTATAGTTGAACGCACGAGATGAATATCTATCCTTATTTTTCTGTTTCTCTTAAACAAGATTATCTGAGCCTGAAATTAGAATCACCGAATTAGAAACATTCATACACACATACATATTAGGTTAATTCCAATCCATACGCAACGCCTGATTACACAATATCATTTATGGTCGGACTTGTTTGCCTGAAAAAAACGTATTGTGTTCAGATTACTTGCACACGCGCTGCACCTGAGAGCACATACCAAATAAAACACCATGTGTTCACATTGTTCAGCACACAACGAGAAGCCAATAATATTTTGTTCTTGTATTATAAAGATGTTTTGCTTATTTTCAAAATTTTTCTAAAAAAAAATTCGTAAAAGAAAAAGTATTATTAAATTAATAAAAATAGGATTATGTACATATGATTCATGTTTTATGTAAAAATATGTTGTCTCTCGCGACTGAAATAATTAATAAAAATAATTAATAATGTTTTATATAGTTTATAGTTAAAAGGAATTTGTTTTATTTCTAAATGTGATGTTTTACTTTAAAGTCATAAAATTTATCATTTTAATCTGTCTCAAAATAATAATTAATAGTATATTTACTTATTATTATATAAAATATAATGTAATGCGAATTAACCAGCTCAGTATTTGGATTATAATTGATTGTCTTCTCGTTTGACACATCGGTGGTTAATACGATGTATGTGTATGTGTGTGTATATATGTATATACATATACACACATATAGAGTATCCACTCGCACTTCTCACACATGTGCAAAATTGCGTGTCGCATGCTGGCTGTCGTCAAAGCAGATTGATCAAACTAAAAACAACGAAATAGCAACAACATTAGATATATCTGCTGAATGTGTTTTACAGTGACAAGAAACACACTGCACGGGACGTTCGCACGTTTCACCCTTTCCTTTTTCCTCACACAGAAAAGAAAGATTGCAGGAGTATAAGCACTTTGAAAAGTGAAGTTTCGTAATTCCTAACGATCCCTTCGTTAATTGAACTGCACTCTTTTTGTTCCGGAAATCCATTCACTTTAAGTGTCTTTGTTCGATTGTTTTTTACGTTTTCTTCGATCATTTCTTACTGTTTCTCTCTCTTTCTTTCTGTTTTGTCAATCTTTATCGATTTTGCGACTAATTTCTTCAGACACTGATTCGTATATGCCCAATTAACCTACGGTCCACAACACTCTGGGGAACAATGACAGAAAGAGGATTTATTTCTTTACAATTAATTTAAGTTGTAATCTATAGGTTCCCGATTACAAGTTTGCTGGTTCTATTTTCGCCAAAATCACATTGTAGCTAACCCGCATTCGTTGATTGGCTAAAATAGAATCAACAACCTGCAATCGTAACTGGCAACTTGTAGTGTGATTACGGCTTTTGGCCTATATAGTGTTGTGTGAGGTTTAAAATTCTCTTTATCTCATCCGCTCTTTCGGTTTTAAAGAGAGAAAGTGAGAATTTTGAGCCTCGCTTAAAGTAATGTTAATGCACACACAATCGAGCCTTAATGATAAACTTAAATTTCACTTAACGCTTACATTAATATTAAATTCATGTTTTAATTTTAGCTTACAATTATATTTTACTCTTATTTCACAAGTATAAATCAAATGTATTAATTATATTTGTGTATATTTAATCATGATCGATATTTGCTTCGAAATTCCTTAACTGGTATTCGAGTATCTAGTATATTTTAAATTAATATATCTTTGTTTAAGATTAACGTAATTGAACGGTTTCTTTTCATTTGGAGAAGAAAATCTAAGGAATAAAATTATATATCTTAAAATTATGTAAGATTGTGAAATATGTTTGCTACAAATAATTTTTCACAACATAGTTGAAAATATCTTGATCCACGTACACACACACACACTTTCTTCGCACCGTAATTTTTAAAACATATAATACAAAAAAATTTGATCTTACAATTTTTTGTGATATAAAACACTAAACGATTTTTTTTTCTTGTCATTGGACCCACAAAATCCACCATTTAGAAAACTCCTAATATACAATCCATTGATCCAAAAAATTAGTTGATCATCAGTTATCTCAGTAAACACCTCATATCTTTCATAGCACTGTTAATAGTTTAATTAAAGAGATACATATACAATGCGAATAAGTGCAAATAACGGTATTGGTTAACCACATACATAATTAGCATACGCACTACACTCGTCGAAAGACGAATTGATATCGCAGGAATGTAAGAGACAAACGTTTCATTTAATATACACGCATACCGATTAGGCTCGTACAGTGTACACGTATAAGTTTCGACGACGTTAAGAAAATGTCTCCCTCCCTACATTCTACGAATATATATAGGTGTATATTAGGACGATTAAAAAAATCCAAAATATCCTTTTGCGGTTACCTTATTGGAACTACTTATTCTTTATGATTAAAAATAGTCACTGTTATTTTTTCAAATTTTTTAAAAATATGTAGAGGTCGTGCAAGTCGTATTTGTAATAAAAGTTAATGTCTTTCAGTCTTTTATTTTTTTTCTGAAAAGAATGTTACACAATAAATAATATTTTCATCGAGTAAGCAATCAAACACATACTTTCTGAGTATCAGAAAAATATGTACAGCTCACTCAATTTGAAGATATATAATAAATGACACTTTCAACCGTGTATACAGACATACAATAACTTTTTTATTTTATTTCGAAAAAATTTAAAAATAACAGTAAGTTCCTGAGACAATTTTATGTTATTGAAACTTGCAAAAAGTGTACACAAAAGTATTCTTTTTAGAAAAAAATAAAAAACTGAAAAATAAAAATTTTCATTATAAACGCTATTTGCGCGATCTTTGCATATTTTTTTAAATTTGACTAAGTAACAGAGTGACTATTTTTAACAACAAGAAATAAGTGGTATTAATAAGGTAGCTAAAAAAAAATATTTTGGATGATTTGAACCACTTTAGTGTACATCTCACTACGCTTTTACATAAACGTAACCTTTCATATATCTCTCGCACTTTATCTTACACGCCGTACGTATGTATGACTAAACTGTGTACCAATTCGTGATATCCAAAAGCTGACACATAACATGACCCATGAATTATTCTCGAACATAACGCGATTTATTTTAAATTTTGTTACTTTTTTATTCTTACCTCGAAAAACATTGACATTATTCTGTATTTGATATAATTTCTATAGCGGTATGCGAGAATAAAACAGTATGAAGAGTGATAATACGTCAGCAGGGTTAATTTTGCGTAAAAAGATTACTTATTAAAATAAAATTATTCGAGCTTTTAAATACTAATTGTAAGTTGATTTTACTAACCATCGTTGGAGACTTTTAATCAATAGGAGAAATTAATAAATAAGTTATTAATTTAATATATTTGCACAGTATATTTAATTGTGTTTTTAAGGCAATAGTTAATCTTGCTGGTGCAGTTATCCCGTTTTACGATATGTAACGATTGTGCAGCATAGAATGTTCATGTATCGGTGCACAGAATTTTGTAAAAAAAAGAAAAAATGAAAGAGCCACTTCTTTCTTCTTCACATACGGTGGGTCAGAGGAAGGAAGAAGGTTGTGCTAAAAGAAAGCAAAGAGAAAAAGCGAGTCACGCGCGATTAAAGCTTGTACGTACGTACGTATGTCTGTCTGCCCGGCTGTGTGTTTGTCAGTATATGCATTGCAGTTCCATCGGCAAAGCGATTCGTACAAGAACACGCTGAAGTACATGAACATGTGCTTCACGGGGATGTTCACTGTCGAGTGCGTACTGAAGATCGCAGCATTCGGCGTGAAGGTAGGCTCCATACACCGCCAAACATCTCTCTCTCATCGAATTCTCAATATATTCTAAGTAAAGCGAGATATAATTCGAGACTCTCGCTAAGTCGAGTGAAAGATGGCTCCTCGTGATAGTTCCTCAAAATTGGAAACCTGAAGAAATCCAGAAATCCCTCGCTGTTATCAAAAGTAATTAACGTATTATCGAGATAATTAATAAACCTTGAAATAATTTGGCGTTAAACATATTTGTAACGTTAATTTATCATTAAATATCAGAAAAAATTAGAAAACAATTTTTGAATGATTCAAAGTGATAAAATTGCTGCAATAGTTTTTTTAGTAACATTGAAAAGTGGTGGAATATCACAAGAGAGTTACTTTTCACGTCGCCTGGTAAGTGTCGCTTGTTAGAAGATAATTAGAAGTGGTTCTCTTCGTGAGTACCGATGTAGCAATATGACTTATCGGAACACTTTCGGTACTCCGGAGATATCCGTATATATATATTGTATATATATATATATATATATACTCTATCTCACGCGTGTATATTTCTACAAGTATATAGAATATACTATTTAGTGAACTTTCTGTGCGCAGGGCTGAACAAGCGCTAGATGCTGTCGGAGTAGTTGTAGCGTTTCCATTTCTCGATATACCTTCGTACGAATATATAGATATGTATCTCGATAGAACTAGAATGGTATTTTTCGTGCTCCTCTGTGCAAGGATTAGCTGCAAGATCTAGATAGAAACTTTTTTTTAATTACTCATACTCATTCTGTACTTGAGATAGTATCAATAAAGTCTACAAGTACTTTAGTATGCAAAAAATGCTCAGCTCTGTACACGTGATCGAGCTTTAGGATAATTTGGGAAGATTTAAGATTTATAAATACCATACAATCTTTTTTATTTTTACTTCCGAATTTGAATTTTTTTTCTTAAAAATTCATGGAAAAACACAATATTTTCATCAGCTTTCAAGTCATCTACTTTTAAACTTATTCATTTAGTACATTTTATATTTTTTTAATTCACTGTGACTGCTACTGTGGAACTTTGACTTTGTATTTAATATGAATTAAACACAGTTAATTGAATCAGAGTTATATTATTTTATTTTATATAAAAAATAAAATATTAGAAATGTAATATATATTTATTACTTATACATGTTTATAGTGTTACAAGCAAAGATAATGCAAATCTTCTCAGGTTTCCTACATTAATAATAATTACACTGAACAAAGTAATAATGGGATTAAATCATTAATTGTACATTTAGCATTGTATTTTTTATTTCTGTTAATTTTTGTGTTTTTACAATATCAATTTACTTGTTTTTTTATCCCGTTATTACAATAAGCTAATTACACAGAGTTTATACAAAAGAAATTAAAAAAATTTAAACTACGATCGAATATTTGCAAAATATCCATCGATTGTTCACACATATACACGCGTATACACATGCATACACAAATATTTGATCGTAATATTTAATGTTCAAGTGAGTCCGCGAAAATTTGATATTTCTTAATATTTTTCTTACACTTACGTTTTGTATCTGATAAAAGATGTGTAATAAGGCTTAGTATTCATATAAATGCGCTCTTATAGAATTTATAATTTAACCTACACTAACATAGAAAATTAACAGTTACACTTACAAATACACAGACATAAAGATTCATATATCACACACCTTCATGTGGCACTCATGAATATTCCAACATGACGTATTGAGAACATAAATAAATTTCACATCGAATTATTTTCAATTATGTTTTTCATGCTTTTTTTTCTCTATTTCTTTCTTCTTATTCTTCTTCTTCTTCTTCTTCTCTCTCTCTCTCTCTCTCTCTCTCTCTCTCTCTCTCTCTTTCTCTTTCTCTATATCTTTTTTACTTTTCTATCTTTCTTGTATTTTGTTTTCTTTGCTCGTCGGTTTAATTTTTCGGAATACTTTCATAATAAAAATAATGGAACAAATAGCAAATTAATTTAAGAGAAAGTTTCGAAAGTCGCACTCACAGAAAATATTTCTATATTCAATGTTATTACTCCAAGATCTAGAATAAAATAAGATTGACATACAGCCAATTATATTTATTTTTCAGAGTAGAATATTTTAATCTTAAATGAAAAATTCTAAGAATAAGGTATTCTTGATTTAGCTCATTAATTTTCTTAATAGAAAAATTTAAGTTCGATACAATATTTTTCATTTAAACTTATTTTATTCCTACGGAAGGAATTTTATTTATATTTTTACGAAAAACTGAGCTCAGTCGAAACTCGAATTGGGGAACTCTCGTTCCGCGTCTCTTTGCCTTTTACCTAAGACGCTACCCCACGAGAGTTTCACTGCTTTGATGTTGTAGCATCGCATATGTAACTGGATAGACTTATTCTAAATGTAAGAATATATAAATTTCTAAATTTATATGTGTTGTACTTATTTCAAGATAAAATGTCGACCTTATTTTATTCGAGGGTGTAGAATACAAATTATTGATTTCATTTTAAAATAACCCTAATTTCATAATGTATAGGGTTAAGATAAGATAAAGTATACGTCAAGAACTTTTTTTTTCTCCATATTAGAAATCCTTTCTGTGAAGGCGAGGAGAAATGTACATAAAGGAAGTGCTGCTTTTTGATATCCTTTGCATGCCTTGCCCGTTTTGCCTGTATCCGCATGTAATCACTTGCACGGTCTGATATGTTTTTGATCCTCGCATGCACACATCATGATTACTATGACTGCGATTATGGGTTGAATGACAATAATAGTGATGATTATAATAACAACTAAAGATAAATATGATGATAACACTAATGATGATGTTGATGATAATGGTGATGACAATGATGATGATGACAATGACAATGAGGACAATAATTTATGGTGAGCATAACGAAACTAAAGTCGAGAAGTCGCGAAAGCGCTCCTCGTTGCTGTTCGCCGCACGCATGTCATTGTGTTGTGGGGAAAAGCATTAACTTCTGTTTCACACATGCATACACTCGGCACACATAAAATTGAACATCGTATTCTATATACACACAGACTGATCGAGATTTACCTATCACATGTACGATGAAGAATCATCCTGTCAGAGATTGGTTAGATTTGCTTGGTAACTTGATACAAAGAGAAGAGATGCCTTCTCACAAAAGAAAATAAAACAAATTTAATTATTTGGTATAAAATAATTCTATACAACATTATATAATGAATTGTATTAAAGCAATTTTTTAACAGAATAATGTACTAGAAAAAAATGTATATTTATAATATTTGGATGTACATTTGATATATAGTCTTTGTGTTTTTGCTATTTATGGAGTAGATATAATGCAATGAAATATATACAATATTAAAACAATACTATTTGCAGACAGTTTACAAGATAACAATTAAAATTGTGTATATAATCGAAAAATTTATCATTATTTATATTTACAAAACTTTATATATATTTTTGAAATTTTTATATTTAAAGTATAAACTTTATGGTAAAGTATAAACTAAATGGGATCTTTAAAAAAAGTTTAAAAAATAAAAATCATAATTTTAAAATAACAATAGAATGACAAAAATGAGTCAATATATTTTTCAATTAAGCGTGTAACGTTTATATCTTGAAAATAAAAGAAAAATATCTCATTTTTAATTTAATAACAATGTTCGACTCAAATGAGAAAAATAAATGAAGAGAGCGATCGAATACAGAGATTAATTAAAAAAGAACGAATACGTATATGTATAGATATATATGGGCGCACAAAGGAATATTAGAGTCTGGGTTGTGTGTTACGTCTGTGTGTTGGGTATATTTTGTAGTATCACGAAGCGCCATTGGTTTTATTGGACTTCTTGACCATCGTGAACTTGGTCGTCACTCTCCTTTTCCTCATTGAGTGCATCCTTAAAATCGTCGCCTTCGGATGCAAGGTATAAACAAGCCTCTTAAATCGCTCTAATTCCATCTCACTCTCACTCAACTCACACTGCAAATTCTTATCACTTGTTATTCCATCGAAACTGACATCATTCACCGGTCGTCATTAATTGTGTGATGTTATCGGTCGGAGGATACTCGTGAAGAAAGTGGGGATCCTAAAAACTGGCGAGAGGAACAGAAGGGAACAGATCGAGACATCGCGAAACTGTTTATCACGAAAATAAAAAGTATCTTTAAAGTTTATTTTTAAGTAGATTTATCAAGATTTAAAGTAAACTTGTATGCGTAATATGAAATTATTACAGTATTTTGAATGGACATTCAAAAGGTAGCAGTTGACAGAAAATAGGACTACACCATTTAGAAAAAATTGTTGAATTTTTTTAAAATATCGGATATATAGTAGAGAGATATTAAATTATTTCAACATTAATGAACAAAGAATCTCTGAATAATTAAGTTCGAAACAAACGAGAGGATATAAAAAAAATCTTGCTTTCTCTCTCTCTCTCTCTCTCTCTCTCTCTCTCTCTCTCTCTCTCT